CTTTTACTTTGCTTGCTTAATCAATTTTATTCATATCAATAAACACAGACAGGTAATATTGGCATAATTACTGTAATTTTTATTTTTATGTTTATAAGACAGCACCTAATATGGGCTTTTTATAATTTCAACATTCGTTTGACCTGAAGATGCTTTGCGAAGTGTAGAAAGCGAAACCGGTCGTTTTGGTAGTAAAATTAAATTGATTGTGAGTGAGTCTTATTTTATTTCTTATTACCCATTTGAAATGGACTCACACAGGCAACACATTCATGAAAGGATTTTCTAATTTGTGGTGTCATCTATAAAGCAATAGCGATAGTTTTCATATGGTAATGTAGTAGAACGCTAGTAGTACTAACTATTATTGTTTATTAAAACTGTGTATATCTCATTCTTTTGAATAAATGTGGCTTGTGCTCTTGTTGCTTTAAGGTCTTCAATTTATTGTAAAATTATGTTTTCCAGGCAATTATATCTTAATTATAAAACAAGTTATGCTTATATTGAATTTTTAAGTATTTATTGGCAATATACATAGTAAGCAAGGTTACTCGTACTTTAATAATTTAAGTGATAAGAATATAACTAAACATAGATATCTCATACAATTTATATTATTTAAAAATATACACAAAATTACCATAATATAAATTTTCGAATTTTAACCAATTTAAACTAAGGCGGTATTACATTATATTTGTGGTTTTGTACATGTTCATCAATTCATTATATTTACAAGTTAGCAGTGGCGGCTTTTGGGAGTAGGCAGGATAGGCCGGGCCTACCGAATAATTTTAAGAGCTTTAAAATTGAAAAAAGTATATTCAAAAATTAGGTTAATGCGTGTAAATAAGTTTTAAATGTACTAAATCACTCAATAAATTAACGTCCGTTAAAACAACTATGTTATTATATTACCACAGAAAGCATCGAATCGTATTCAGGCATTTTAAATATCCATTAATAGGGCCCGATCGGAACTGGCAGACCCAGCTCACATAAGATGCCCGTACAAAAAGCGTTTGAAGTTAAGAAGCTTGCCGGACAACGATTTTTATTGTCGTGTTTATGATTGCTGTTTACTCACCAGATGATCGGGCCTACGCCGACCATCCTTGTCACTTGTAACTTTATTATCGAATTGTAATATCAATTTTCTTTTAAATTGTGATAAAAATATATATAACATAATCTATAATTTTGTAACAAATTTTTAAACAAACAACACAAATGTGTTGTATGAGAACGCCATAAATAACTCCACATTTTTGCATGCATTCTTGATGAAACAACCGATATTACTAAAAGGGCACATTGTTCAATAGTATGCAAATTACTGGATACAAAAGGCGTTGTTCAAGAATATTTCTTAGGTTTTTTTGATCTATGGGAAGACCGAAGTGCTCCAGCGTTATGTGCCTGTTTAGTGTAATTGGTAAATTGGACTGTAAAGCTAAATTATTTGCTCGAACCTACGATGGAGCTAGTGTTATGTCGGGACAACTTAATGGACTTTAAAAATTAGTAAGAGATTCTGCACCATTAGTAATATTTGCCCGTTGATTCGCTCACCGCCTCAATTTAGTTTTACAGCAAAGTTGCTCCAACATTACAACAGTCAAAATATTATTCTCAACGTTTCAAGGTATCCCAGCTTATTTTCACCAATCGTCCAAACAGTCCCATTTTTTAAATAAAATACTTGGAAATCGAATTACCACAAATAGTGAAGTAAGATGGAATTCAAGTGCAAAAGTAGTATATGTTGTATCAAAAGAAAGAAAAAAGTTATTACAAGTTTGTCAGGGCCTAATGAATTGCACAGAATCAAATGCACAGCCAGGCAGGTAGATGGTTTTAAACGTAAGTTAGAGGATTTCGAATTTGTATTTTTATTAAATGTTTTTAGTGATATATTTCAACAAACTGAGCTCTTATACAACATCTAGCAGAAGAAAAATAATGATGTTGAATTGTGTGTCAATTCAGTGTCCAGAAGTGTTGCAATGTTAAAGAGCTGGAGAAATGACCTTATATTTTCTAACCATTTTAACATTTCTGTTATCGAAACCAATTTTAAACCCATCTTAAGTCGTAGTGAACTTGATATTTTACCTGGTAGTTCATCTAATAACGGAGATCAAAGTTTTTTGGAGAAAGCTAAAACTAAATTTAGAAGGATCTTTTTTGAGATTTTGGACAATATTATTACTCAATTAGAGCAACGTTTCTCGGATTACAAAAAATTTCAATAACTGGAATTGGGCGATAATAAAAGATTCACAAAATAAGGCACTAAGTATACTATGTAATTTGCTGGCTTAGCCTACTCAAAATTTTACCACACCAGCCGCCACTGCAAGTTAGATTTAAAAGATTTATTTTTTTTTTTTTTTGGAAATTATAATTATTTTTGTTGGAAATTAATCACAATTTTAGTTTAAATACGTTTATCTGGAGACGTTTTTATTTTTATCGTTATTTTAGGGTAAATAAGAGACAAACGCAAGGCTGCAGTCTCTCTCCAACACTCTTCAAAAAAGTATTCCTGAATCCGTTAGCGCTAGGTTCATAATTTTTTTTTGAACCTATTCTCTATCCTTCCATTGTTGGATATAGGTCTCCCCCAGTTCTCGTCATCTTTCCCTATTTTGAGCTGTTCTCTGCCATGTGGGACCTCCTTGTTTCCTGATGTCATCTTTCCACTGTTCAACAATTCCAAATACTGTTCAACAAATGTCTGTTTGAAGGAAAATACCTAAACAATGGAGAAATGCCAACACAATCTTAATACATAAGAAAGGAGACCTTCTTCTTCTTGTAGTGCCTATCCGTTTCGGATGTTGGCGACCATCATAGCAATCTGCACTTTACACACTGCTGCTCTAAAAAGATTTGTGGTTGTTGTATTGAACCACGTTCGTAGATTTTTCAGCCAGGAAATCCTTCGCCTTCCTGGTCCCCGTTTTCCTTCTACTTTTCCCTGCAAGATTAGTTGCAGCAGTCCATATCTTTCGCTGTTCCTCATGATGTGACCGAGGTATTCGATTTTAGCTGTTTTTATTGTGGTTAACAGCTCTTTTTCTTTTTTCATTCTCAACAGAACACCCTCATTAGTAACGTGGTCGGTGTACGATATCTTCAGGATGCGACGATAAAGCCACATTTCAAAAGCCTCAATTTTCTTGCAGGTGGCGTCTGTGAGAGTCCATGACTCAACTCCGTACAACAGTATAGGAAAGATATAACATCGTAGTAACCTGATTTTTATGGGCATTGATAAATCATGACATTTGAATAACTTGGCCATTTTTTGAAATGCAGATCTTGCTTTCTCTATTCTACATTTGATTTCTATGGAATGGTCCCAATTTTCATTGACGTTCGTACCAAGGTAGGTGTATGTTTTTACTCTTTCTATTTGTTGACCGTTTACACTGATTTGTTCAAATTGCTGTTCCTTCTTAGAGATCATCATGCATTTTGTTTTTGTCTAGGAGACCGAACAGACCTAAACATCTACCGTCCTATTTCCCTTTTGTCACCACTATATAAAACCTTCACAAGAATAATAAACAACCGACTAACCTATAAACTTGATCACTACCAACCAGTGGTGCATGCCGGATTCAGGAAAGGATACAGCACAATCGACCATCTACATGCGCTTAAAATCTTAATTGAGAAAACCAATTAATACAACCTTCCGCTGTACTTAGCATTCGTAGATTATGAAAAGGCTTTAGACAGCATTGAACACTAGGCGGTTGAAGAAGCTCTGGTCAATAGTAGAATAGATTTAAGATACCGACAATTGATACATGATATTTACCAAAACGCAACCATGACCGTAATTCTGGGACGACAAATTAATAACGGATAATATAAAAGTTAAACGAGGAGTCCGACAAGACGATATAATTTCACCTAAACTGTTTACCTTGACCCTCGAAGACATAATAAAATCAACAGATTGGGAAAACAGAGGAATGTGTATTAACGGAAAATACCTAAATCACCTTAGATATGTGGATGATATACTCCTGATCTCATCGAAACGATAAGAACTGGAATTAATGCTGAATGAACTTCATGAAAAATCACTGCAAAAAGGCCTAAAAATTAACTTCAACAAAACAAAAGTAATGACAAACACGGAAGACCAAGAGGCAATAAAAATAAAAACCGAAAAAATAGAACAGGTCAATGAGTATATCTATCTAGGACAAGCAATCAGAGCTAACAGAGAAAATCAAACAGCCCGAAATATCGAGACGAGTAAGAATGGGATAGGCAGCGTTCGGCAAACTTTCTTACGTTCTAAAAAAATCAAACAATCCCTCTATACTTACGAAGCAAGGTATATAACTCCTGTATAATACCGGTGCTCACCTACGGAGCACAGACATGGACATTTACACAGGCCAATTTGGATAGGATAAGGAAGGCACAAAGAGCGATGGAGACACAAATGTTGGGTGTATCACTTAGAGATAGAAAACGTAACCAGTGGATCAGAACCAGAACAAAGACAGTAGACGCGATAGAACAAGCAGCAAAACTGAAATGTAAATGGGCTGGACACAATAAACGTCTCCAAGACGGACGATGGAACAATGCCATCGAAAAGTGGCGTCCACACAATGCAAAGAGATCAAGAGGCAGACCACAGATGAGGTGGAAAGATGAGGTTCATAATATGCTCTGAATACCTATCTCTTGAATAATAATGGGAACAGTATAATAGTCATACATATTTTAATACAAACTTAAATGATTATCCATTTTTAATTTCTTTGTAACTCACAAATTTTCTTTCGATGTTACTAGACTTGATAACTCAAGACTTAATAAAAGCATATGACTCAAATTTTCAGGTGATTTTCCCAGTGAATGTATGTGTTTGCTATTCCATAGTTTCATAGTTATGCCTAGTATTTTATATACTGTTGTATCTCATATAAAAATAATAATTGAGTATTTTCTTTCTATTGTAGGTTTTTCTAAAGTTAGAGCTACTGAACGACGTGGAAGAAGATGCAGCACTGCAACAGCTTTTATTAAGCCCATAATGAATAGATCTAATTTTAATCTTCAGTCTGGTGCCAGAGTCACCAAAATTTTAATCGATCCCACAACCAAGAAAGCCCACGGAGTGGAATATATAAAATATGGGATTAAACATACAGTTCATGCTAAAAAAGAAATAATTTTGAGTGCAGGTGCTATAATGAGCCCTCAACTTCTTATGACATCTGGAGTTGGACCACGAGAGCATCTGACTGAAAAGGGTATAACCTGTCTCAAGAACTTAAAAGTTGGATACAATTTTCAAGATCATGTTGGAGTAGTTCTTCAAGCTCTGTTTGTTAACGAAAGCGTTACTTTCACTGAAGGAGACTTTTTCAAACCTCAGAATTGGTACCAATATCTAGTAAATGGTAGTATACACTGGAGTTTGTAGTATGTACTTTGTCTAAATAAATATTGTTATTTCAGGAAAGGGTGTACTGACATTACCAGGAGGCTCTGAAGCTCTAGCGTTCGTAAAATCCAAATATGCTCCTCAAGATCGAGATTATCCAGATCTACAATTAGTTCTTGGAGCCATATCTTTCAACCAACTTACTTTTGCATTACTTGGAAATAGTGCCGGAGTCCCAACAAAATTGTATAATCAGGTGTTTGCTCCTCATGTGGGTACACCATCATTCGGAATCAATCCATTCGTTATGAGCCCTAAAAGTAGAGGAAGAGTATCTTTAAAAACCAGTAATCCACTGGATAATCCTAAAATAGAAACTAATTACTTTAGCGAAAAGGAAGATACAGACATACTTGTTGAAGGACTTAAACTTGTAAGTATTATTTATACAGTGTGTTAAATTTTAAATTACATATATATATATATATATATATATATATATATATATATATATATACATATAGGTATATATATATATATACAAATGTATATATATATATACATATATATATATATATATATATATATATATATATATATATATACCCGGTATTTAGGCGGCACACGCCCTTCCGGTAGGGATCTATGAAGGAGTATCACCGAGCCGCAAGCCCTTATCTCTTGCCTTACTGCTCCACCATAGGTCGATCAGACACCAGCATATTTTAGTCTAAGCCAGAGATTTATTTAGAATTTTAAACTGCTGCGTTAGCCTTTTTGTTTTCTGTACACCGAGCTGGGGATCGAACTCACATCCGCTGAACCACTAGCAGTGAAGCGAATAAGAAACCGGGCTTCCAGCCCGCTTGGCTATCTGACCGACGTAAATTAGATATACACACAATAAATGACAAAATATTTTTGTAACAACTAATTATTATTATTTTATTATTATTATAAAAAATAAAGTCAAATTGAGACACATTAAGGGGAAAGAAATATACATTAATGATGATATGGACAAAAATGAACGGATGATATAGGGAAAAAAATAAATACACATAAGTACAAAGTAAAAAAATTAATGAACAATATAATAAAAGAAGTAAAAATTGTTGGTCTTCTCATGAATAAGGAAAAGACAAAATACATGATAATGGGAGAAACAGATAAAGAAAAAGAAGACACTTGGAGGTAGAAGAAGAAAATTCACGCGCGTTAAAAAGAGTTTCAGAATTTCCTTATCTGGGGGTAAAAGTAGGTGAAAAGGGACATGGGGAAGGGGAGCTGAAGGCAAGAATAGCAAAAGCAAACAAAAAGTATGAAGCATTGCGTCCATTAATGAAATCCAAATATGTCTCAAGAAAAACAAAAATAAGAATCTACAAAACAGTTATCAGACCCAAAGCTACAAGGGCATGTGAAACATGGGTGCTTAAAAAATCAGAAATTGACCTCTTAGAAAGATGGGAGAGGAAAATACAACGAGCAAGATATGGAGGCGTGAAATAGATGGACAATGGAGAAGATAAAATAATGAGAAACTTGAAGAACTATATAATAAACCAAAAATAACGATGGCAATCAAAGCACAGAGAATCCGATACTTAGGACACATCGAAAGAATGGAAAAGGCGAGAATGCCAAAAATGGATTCTATTATATATCACCTATACAAAAAAGAAGAATAGGAAGACCATAATGAGATGGAAAGACAGGGTATGTGAAGACTTCAAAGAAGTAATATTGTTAACTGGAAGGAAAAAGCTTTGGACAGAAAACAATGGAAGGAAGTGGTGAAGAAATGTATGGAAAGACTATAAGGAATATTAAGTGTAGTATTAAGTGTTTTATATAAACAAATGCAATATTGTATATATTATAGTAGTATAGAATAATAGCATTATATATAATATGTAATAGTAATTGTAAGGAAAAATTAATTCTTTCAGCCCTATGCCTTCAAGGCTTGTTGAACTTAATAAATATATAAATATTTTTTGTTTATAAGCGCCAGGAGTAGATTTATTTTCTGCGTTTTTTTTGAGGAGAGATCAATTCCTTGCGTACAGTCAGTTCATAATATTGAGAGTTGTTGTTGCCTCAAAAATTGTAAAAAATGTTAAGCTCAAGAAGTGGACCAGAAAAATTTGAGGAAAGAGAATACCGGGATACACAAATTTGTGCAACAATCGAAGTAGATTCAACACGTTCATGTAGAAGTGTTGCTAGGGAGTAAGATGTTAGCAATTTTACTGTAACGAAAGTGTGGGAAAAGCAATATTACAAGAATTTTAAATATTTGAAAACGCTGGAGCTTTATCCGACTACTTTCGAAGAATGAAGTTTTGTGAAACTCTAATGCCGAAGGCTAATAAAGAATTCAATTTTATTAAAAACCGATTAAAATAAAACCAATTTTATTTACCGATGAATCTTCGGTTTCGTTATTAGGGAGACACAATCCTTTCATAACAAAGTTTTGGGTGCGGGAAACCAGCACAGAACTGTTGTTTACCGAACTTAACACTTACCGACTCAATAGGTCCATTTTTTATTTAGGGCAACAATCATATTTTTCCCGCTATTCCCAATCTTCCTGATGTATATCTGGAGAATGTTTGGTTCCATCAAGACGGCTGTTCAGTTCACAACATTCGAATAACTAGGGAGTACTTAAACAATCTTAGTACAACTAGACGAAAATACAAATGCCATTCTCATTAAGAGAGGAGTGAGACAAGGAGACGTAATATCGCCAGAGCTTTTCAATCTAGCCCCAGAAGACGTTTTCAAAACTACAAATTGGTCGACCTATGGCATTAACGTTAATGGCAACAAGTTAAACCACCTCAGATTCGCTGACGACATAGTGAATGTAGCGAGCACATTCGAGGAACTGCAAATTATGTTGGGGGAACTAGCTGCCATCTTTCAATACGTCGGCCTAAAAATGAATATGAAAAGAACAAAAATAATGACAAACACAGAAGACCTTAGACATATAACTATAAACGGCAGTGAGATAGAACAAATCCAGGAATGTACCTACCTAGGCCAAATCCTGAGACTTGACAAAGAAAACCAAAGTGCGGAAATTACTAGAAGAGCAAGACTAGCATGGGCAGGATTTGGAAAACTTAGTTGGATACTTAAGAACCGCAAAATACCCCAATACTTGAGGAGCAAAGTGTTCAACCAATGCATCCTTCCTATCATGACATATGCTAGACAGAAAGACCAACGTTGGAATACTACAATACAATATTAGAGACCTTACGAAAATAAACGACCAAGAGGAAGACCACAGATGAGATGGGTTGATGACATTAGAAGAATAGCCGGAACAAATTGGAAATATGTTGCTCAGGGTAGAGACCGATGGAAGGAGTTGCGAGAGGCCTATGTCCAAACATGGACGACAGAAGGCTAAGAAGAAGAAGAAGAAGACTTAAACAATACTTTCCCGAATCGAGTTATTAGTGGAACTGGAGATATTCAGCCCTTCGCTTAATATCTCCAGGTCTTACATCCATGGACTTCTTTTTTTTTGGGGACATTTAAAAAGTACCATCTACGATCATCCTGAGGGTAGAGCCCAAAATTTGGATGAATTAGAAAACCGAATTAGAGAAGTCTCCAATCCTATTACAGCAGAAACTCTTACATCTGATTGCAGAAGTTTTTATGACAGATTGTGATACTGTTTAGCCGTAGAAGGTCAAATATTTGAATCATTTCTGTAAGGCATAAAGAACTATTTCTTATTTTGTTAGGATTTTTTTTTTCAACAAGAGTATATTTTTTATTTTATCTTCTTTAAGAAATGCGCTTTTTTTAGTTCAACCACAAAAAATTGTTCAGAATATTAGAAACCAATACAAATGCACCGCCTTATAATGGTCAGTATTTTCATCGAGTTTATGTTGAGAATGTATGAGAAATGAACCAAGTGTACGTAATCAAAACAAAAATCGACGGACGAGTTGCGTATCCCTTGTTGTTTTGTGTTACTAAATGGTTTTCTCGTTTTCTTTTTAGGTTTAGGTATCTACGTGTCAGAGCGGAGGGGATCGGAGAATTACAATTAACTCGTACAAGGCAATGTTGCCAATTTTAGCTCTTTATGTATTTGCAATATCTAATCCAAATCTTAACATACTGTATAAAGAAACTAGTGTTTAAGGTTTAAAATTGAGCCAAAATTATTCTTTCTTTTCTTTATTTTTTTTTATATAGATTATCTACTTATTCTTATTAGGATATTTATATTATCTATGGATAGAGAATGCTTCTATATATGTATAGGACCGGTACAATAATAAGGTATAACCAAATAAGCACTGAGGAATACCTGAGGACATGGCATAAGGCAGCAATGAAATGATTTCTGCTGTCGGTTAGATAACAGACACGCACAGGCGTATATCATATAATGATTCAACCGCCGAGCCTTTACGCTGCGATCAGGCAGGTAAGAGAAAATCACCTGATTATCTTCTCGAGACTACATTCCAAATGAATTATTCTTTAATTCATTTGGATCCAAACCATTCACGAATAAAGCAAGCCAACAATTTTTAGAGTGCCATTACGCCCTAACAAGGGTTTAATTAAGGAATGAGGAGAAGGAGGATATTATTTTTGTAATAACTAATGTACAGTAATTTTATGTAAATGTATTTCAGCTATTCTTCTATTTTGTACATTCTCGTTGTAAAATGCATCAAAGATGACAGGTAGATATACTGTTTTGGTACATAATGACTAATCTTCTACCTGGCATTTTTCTACTTCCTTGTTTTTACATTTTTTACACTTATTAAGTTTATAGTATTACATAGCATGTATCTCTGACAGCAATATGAGTGTAACAAAAAAATACTGAAAACTTTGTTTTCAAAACTTCCACAAAATTTATTAAAAAATCTTATCACTACAGCTGTTTCGGCAGAGAGCCTTTCTCAAGAATCTATTTTTGGTATGCGTTTACACTTTATAGTCTTTATTGAAATAGGTTGAGGAGGGGAGCACTGTTTGTCTTAAGTTGGTCATTCAAAATTATATCTGTGTTAATTTCCATAGATTCTAACAAAGGTAGCTTAAGACCTTTATTTTGAATGTGAAGAATTTGAAATTTTTCATTAAAAGAATGATTATGATCTAGAAGGTAAAGTGTGTAAGTAGAATCTGTTTTTCTATTATTGAAAGCCCTTTTATAATCTGCTATTCGTTTATTAAAATTTCTACCTGTTTGATCGATGTAAGTTTTTGGGCAGTCGCCACATTTAAGTTTGTGTACACCACTGTACACAATATATTTGCCTAAGTTGTTGTTTGTTGTGAAAGCTGGTGTTATTCCTTTCTTTTTTATGTGCTTGGCTATTTTTGTTGATATTTTGCCTTTATTTAATCGAGCCGAAGGTACTGGGC